AAATCTAAAGTGCTAAAATCCGGAGTATCTGTAACAGCAAAAAGTAAAAAAAAAAAAATAGAAGTCAGCAGATTAATCAATCAGATATGAATACATAATTACTATATCATACTCAAAATTCATTCAAATCAAGCATATTCAGTGGGTTATAAAGTCACGGTTTTATCATTTACACAATGTGTTCTATGCTAAATTTTACATATTCACTGGGTATTAATTAGGGCATTTTCCAGTCAGCAAAATAAGCAAAATCAAAACCCAGTGAATAATTAACCCCTTTACAGTTTTTCTATCATGCCCATTTGTGTGTTGTCTGTAATAGCAGCATTTGCCAGTATTTCTATCATGTCAATGCACATTTTCATATTTTGTCATCAGTTATGGTGGTAACATGTACATGTAATTGATATCCTTGTTTAGCATACATACCAGAGAATGGTGATGGTTGTGCACTGTGTTCATCTTCTATACTAGGTTCATTTATAACTTGTGCTGCCATTTGTAATATATCATCTTCTAGCATCTGCGATGGTATGACTTGCTCTGTTTCCTCAAATGTTAAAGCACTTGTATCTGTATCATAAATATACAAACACATGTACACTGTCCAGGATACAAGCATGACACATGTACACTGTCTAGGATACAAATATGACACACGTACACTGCCTAGGATACAAACATGACACATGTACACTGTCTAGGATACAAGCATGACACATGTACACTGTCTAGGATACAAGCATGACACATGTACACTGTCCAGGGTACAAGTATGACACATGTACACTGTCCAGGGTACAAGCATGACACATGTACACTGTCTAGGATACAAACATGACACATGTACACTGTCTAGGATACAAATATGACACACGTACACTGTCTAGGATACAAACATGACACATGTACACTGTCTAGGATACAAGCATGACACATGTACACCATCTAGAATACAAGCATGACACATGTACACCATCTAGAATACAAACATGACACATGTACACTGTCTAGGATACAAGCATGACACATGTACACTGTCCAGGGTACAAGCATGACACATGTACACTGTCTAGAATACAAACATGACACATGTACACTTGTCTAGGATACAAGCATGACACATGTACACTGTCTAGGATACAAACATGACACATGTACACTGTCCAGGGTACAAGTATGACACATGTACACTGTCCAGGGTACAAGTATGACACATGTACACCATCTAGAATACAAACATGACACATGTACACTGTCCAGGGTACAAGTATGACACATGTACACTGTCCAGGGTACAAGCATGACACATGTACACTGTCTAGGATACAAATATGACACACGTACACTGCCTAGGATACAAACATGACACATGTACACTGTCTAGGATACAAGCATGACACATGTACACTGTCTAGGATACAAGCATGACACATGTACACTGTCCAGGGTACAAGTATGACACATGTACACTGTCCAGGGTACAAGCATGACACATGTACACTGTCTAGGATACAAACATGACACATGTACACTGTCTAGGATACAAATATGACACACGTACACTGTCTAGGATACAAACATGACACATGTACACTGTCTAGGATACAAGCATGACACATGTACACTGTCCAAGATACAAACATGACATATGTACACTTGTCTAGGATACAAGCATGACACATGTACACCATCTAGAATACAAACATGACACATGTACACTGTCCAGGGTACAAGCATGACACATGTACACTGTCCAGGGTACAAGCATGACACATGTACACTGTCCAGGGTACAAGCATGACACATGTACACTGTCCAGGGTACAAGCATGACACATGTACACTGTCCAGGGTACAAGCATGACACATGTACACTGTCCAGGGTACAAGCATGACACATGTACACTGTCCAGGGTACAAGCATGACACATGTACACTGTCCAGGGTACAAGCATGACACATGTACACTGTCCAGGGTACAAGCATGACACATGTACACTGTCTAGAATACAAACATGACACATGTACACTGTCCAGGGTACAAGCATGACACATGTACACTGTCCAGGTACAAACATGACACATGTACATCCAGAATACAAACATAACACATGTACACTGTCCAGGGTATAAGCATGACACATGTACACTGTCTAGAATACAAACATGACACATGCACACTGTCTAGGGATACAAGCATGACACATGTACACCATCTAGAATACAAACATGACACATGTACACTGTCCAGGGTACAAGCATGACACATGTACACTATCTAGAATACAAACATGACACATGTACACTGTCCAGGGTACAAGCATGACACATGTACACTGTCTAGAATACAAACATGACACATGACACTGTCCAGGGTACAAGCATGACACAAACATGACACATGTACACTGTCTAGGATACAAGCATGACACATGTACACCATCTAGAATACAAACATGACACATGTACACTGTCCAGGGTACAAGCATGACACATGTACACTGTCCAGGGTACAAGCATGACACATGTACACTGTCTAGAATACAAACATGACACATGTACACTGTCTAGGATACAAGCATGACACATGTACACCATCTAGAATACAAACATGACACATGTACACTGTCCAGGGTACAAGCATGACACATGTACACTGTCTAGAATACAAACATGACACATGTACACTGTCTAGGATCCAAGCATGACACATGTACACTGTCTAGGATACAAGCATG